ATATTACTGAGAATCATCTGAGAGGTTTCCAGTAGATCTTTAACATATATTTTCCATCTTCAGGCATAAAATTCCTTCTCTGCCCCAGAATCTGCTATATAAATTAAATCCAGTGTTATCTCTCTTTAAGTATCCATAAAGCTGAATATAAAATAAGTCAAGACAAGTATTCACAGATAACTCAGACAGAATGAAGAATGTTTTTCTACAGTGCCTAAAATGCTGTCAGAGCTCGAATTGTTAATGAGCACTTCTTCTCTGGTAACCACTGGGAATACTGGCATTTTACATTATTTTGCGTTTTGCAATTATTCACAAATTATTAGTACATTCTTAAATTTTAAACTTTTAATGTAGGCACATCCTCTCTTAAATTGTTCTACTTAGCTTGGGAGTAAGGAATAACTGTAGGATGGTCCAATATACCTAACATTAATCTTGAATTCTAAAAAAAAAGCAGAGGAAGGACTGTGAATGTAGCTTGGTGGAGCACCTGCTTAGCATGGGCGAGGCCCTGGATTTGTTCTCCAGTGTCGGAAATAAAATGGTTATTGATTCAATCAGCCATACTTTATCAAACTGGGAGTATACTCTGAAGATATAATGTTCAATAAAACACAGTATCTTGGGATGGGGATTTAGCTCAGTGGTTCTGGAGCCGGCCTCAAAAGAGGAAGGGCCCAAGTTTGATCTCCAGTACCGAAAAACAACAAAAAAAACCAGTGTCTTCCCTTTTCAGAGACTAGTAAAAAGAACAAGCATAAACAGACATAACACAGTGGTCCTTGTGATAGCATCGATTTTATACTATGGAAACACAGAAGGACATGGCAAAACAGCCTCACTGTTGCTATATAAAACAATTTTCTCATTCCACTGCTTTCAGGTATAATCCTGTTCAACTCTCAAGTCTTTGTACCGCAGAACAGATCTGTCTCAGGCAAACTCAAACATGGAAGGGATATGTCAATATAGTACCTACTTTTAGTTTCCTCTGAAGATTTATTTCATTAAACAGCACCAACCAGGTAATTCCAACAGAGAAGACCCCCCTCTCAAAAAACTGGTTCTGTTCCAATCTATCTACAGACCAAAATTCCCCTACAGACAATAGGACTGATCTGATCTCTCCTGAGTTCTCGAAATTCCAGAATGTTTTCTCAATCATTTATTCTCAAGTTAACTCTAGAAAACAAGTATTAGGTCTCTTCCAGGTTAGACAATAGGTAATGAAGGTTAGAACATAGGGTTCTGGGAACCTAGCTCAGGGGTTCTGCTGCTTGCTTTGCAAGCCGAAGGACCTGGGTTTGATCCCTGGTACTCCCCCACCAAAAAAGATGGGATGAATTAGGTTGAAAAGGAATTTGTCCCTCCCCAAAAGGTTAGAACATAAAATAATTCCCTCTGTGTTTTCAATACATGCCAGTGTGCATCAGATACCAAAATAGAAAGGAACTAGGTGCTGAGGTAGATAAAATTATTGGAAATGAGTTGTCAAGAAAAGAATTGCTGGGCCGGGGATTTAGCTCAGTGGTGTTGCTGACTACCTCCCAAGCTCACAGTTGTGAGTTCAATCCCTGGAACCAAAAAGAAAAGAAAAGAATTGCTATGAAAAAGACAGTAAGCTGCCTATATGACGAGACTCAGAGGAAGAAGGTCTGGTAGTGTACCACAACAACCACTAATGAATTTTTACCAACTACTTTTCCAGATCTTATGAAATATGTTACCTCATGTCAGCTTCTCAGATAACATGTGGCCAAAGAGTCCCCTTGGTAATCAGAAATACAGAGATATCGTTAGGAAAATATTTAGAATAAACAAGCAACTCTTTTTTTCCAGCTTGTTAGCAAATCCTGGACTAGAATGCTATTTTTCCAACTCAACTGGCTGCATCAGCTATCTATTGCTACATAATAATGACCCCAAAACTTGGTGAATTTTTTTGTTCATAATTCTATAGGTAAGCAATTTAGACTGGGCTTAGTTAAAGAGTTCATCTGCTGGTCAGAACCGAGGTCAATGATGCAGCTGTAATGATTTGACAGCTTGACTAGGGCCGGATGGTTAAAAGGGCTTCATTTTCATCCTTGGTGGTTTATTGCAAATGTCTACAGCAGGCTAGGCCAGGCTTTTCTGCTAGTTTAAGAGTTCCTAGCAGCAAGAGAGGGCACACTTCAATAAGCAAAGTGCTTTCAAAGTCTATCTTTGCCTAATATTGGCTAATATACCAGGGACCAAAGCAAAGCCCAGAGTTATCTAGGGAGTGGATACAAAGTGTGGCTACAAGATGAATCATTACAGTTCATTACTGTAACAGTGTATTGTATCAGCTACAGCTACTTTAACCAAATAATGAGAATAATTTTATAATTTAATGGGCATTTTTTCTATTTATCAACTTTATTCTTGGAATTAAAATCTTTTAGAAAATAATATTTTCTAAGGCAGCAGAATATGAAGCAACATCACACTAATATTCAGCTCTGCCAGTAACTAACAAGTATGATCTTGAGGTAAATTACTTGGGTGTTATTTACATCCTTGGTACAATAGGACCATCACCACTGTTCTATCTCACACGGCTGAATTACACGCCTGGTGCCCCCATGTTTATTGCAGCACTATTTACAATAGCCAAGAAATGAAAATAACCAGAACGTCCCTCAATTAATGAAAGGACAAAACAAGCTAGGTATGGTGACGCAAGCCTGCAATCCCAGCACTCCAGAAGGTTCAGGTGGAAGAATGCAAAGTTCAAGCACAGCCTAAGCAATTTAGTGAGACCCACCTCAAAATTTTTAAAACACTATTTAAAGGGCTGGGGGTGGAGCTCAGTGCAAAAGTGCTGGGTTCAATCCTCTGAACTGCAAAGAAAGAGGAGGAACAGTGAAGAAGCAAGGAAGGGTGAGAGGGAAGGAGAGATGGAGGATGGATAAAATGTGGTGCATCTACACAATAAAATAAGAAACCCTGACGTTTGTGATAACATGGCATAGAACTCTCACTTGAGGGTCACTATGTTAAGTGAAGTAATTCGGGCACAGAAAGACAAATTTTGCCTGATCTCACTCACATATGGAATTCAAAAAAGTTGATCTCATAAAAATTCAGAGTAGTATAGTGGTTACCAGAAGCTAGGGACAGAAAGGGGGCAGTAGGGAGGGCAAAAAATTGAGTAAGAGTTATTAAGTTATAGCTAGACAGAAAAAATAAGTTCTGGTGTCCTCTTGCATGGTAGAGTAAAAATCACGTGCTATTTACTTCAAAAAAGCTGGAACAAGGATTTTGAATGTTTTTACCACAAAGAAATGAAGTTTGAGGGCCAGGGATTTCACTCAGAGGCACTACACCTTCCTTGTAAGCACAAGTTTGATCCCCAATGGGGTTGGGGGGGATATGTTTGAGGAGATCATTTGTTTATCCTGATTTGAAGATTATCTCAATGTGTACATGTTTCAAACATCACACGATAACCCATAAATATGTATAATTTTTGTGTATGAATTTAAATTTTTTTAAGCTTAAAACTACACCAAGATCATATTTACCATACCAATCTTTAAATCCAACTGCCATGCCACTCAAAGAAAGAATTGTTCAGTTTATTAATTCTATCCTATAGAAAGCCACACCAACACCAAATTTAATATTCAAGTGCCTAAACCATATCATAAATCTTATTCCTAAATCTTACTTAGACAATTCAATATAAAAATTTAAAAAGCTGGCCAGGGATTTGGCTCAGTGGTTCTGCTGCCTTCCTTGCAAGTGTAAAGGCCCAAGTTCAATCCCTGGGACAAAAAAAAATTTTTAAAGATAATAATTGTTCCTCTGCCTATATTCAAAAATGGTTTGGGATATATCTTTATAACAGAATCAAGTTATTGCTGAAAAAATAGGAAGTTAATTAAATTATCAAACAATATTTTTAGTGCAAAGACCACAATCAATTTTAATGTAACTGAAATAAATTTCCTATTCTGTTGTCTATTAGTACATTGCTATACATATATACACTCACAGTAATTTTGATTACACAGTGATCTTTTTTTTTTTTTTTTTTTTTTTATGGTACCGGATATTGAACTCGGGTCCTTGTGCTTGCAAGGCAGGCTACCGAACTGCTGAGCTAAATCCCCAGCCCTACACAGCGATTTTTTAAAATTTAGAAGTTATACAAAATCACACCTACATTCTTACCATTCTAAAATACCCTGAGCCTATTATTTGATATAGTAAGTTTTCAAAATTTCATTAGTAGATCTCCTCTTCTAACAGAGATTATCAGATGATTTCAACCTACGTTTACAGATTTTCTAATATTAAGCCCACTCTGTACATACAGTCTAAACCAAACTTGGGTATAGTATTTGATATATCTTATTTAGGGTTGAATTTGTTTGCTACTATACTTTTTTTAAGTTTTTACTTCTATATTCAGGACTGAAATAGACCTACATATAATTTTTCTTTCTCCTACTGTTTCTGTCTCATAAGACACCCACAGGTCTTGTAGAATGAATTGTAAAGTATTTCTTCATTTTCTATTAAAGCTGTATAAAATTTAGATGCTCTGTTCCTTGAAACTGTGGTAACAGTTATCTATCAAACCATTAGGGCTTAATCTTTCCACTATAGGATGGTTTTCCTTTTCCTCTTTACCACTTCTTCAATTTCTTTAATAGTTACAGGATTGTTAAGCTAATTATTTCTTAAATTAATTCTTAAAAGTTAAACTTATAAGAATTGACCTATCTCTACTCACAGAAATTGAGCCAAATATTCTCAACCCTTCAGAGTTGTAACATCTTAGCATATCTTATTTGAATTTAGAACCATCAATGTATCTTTTGGTTTGGTTTTAATTTTGAACAAGAGATTGAAAAGCATGTATCAGGTCTCAAAATAATCGCAGATATTTTTGTGTGGCCACAAAATCACCACTGCTGCTTTTGACAAACAGATACAAATGTGCATATATTTTTGCTACTACTCACCACCAGAAACAGGGGCATCCATGAAAACTGCTCCCATTTTCTCAACTTCTTTGGCCAATTCTTTTGAAATTGAAGGATCAATGGTACTGGAATCTATTAATAATGAGCCTTTCTTCACTTTTCTAAGTAGACAAAAATATTTATAGTTTACAATTCTGAATAAACATTTTGTACAATTACCTATTCAATTAGAATCATCTAAGAGCTGCCAGATTCCAGGAGGTCTTTGCTTTAGTACTACGAACATTATAAGCTAGAACTGGTCCAAAAATCTCATATTCATTTTCATATTGATTATAGTTCAAAGTAACCCAAACTCTTCCAAATAAATAAACAACAACAACAACAAAATCTAAAATAAAACCCTTCTATAAGAAAATGATTTAAACAATTTTAGACATACAAATTGTTATAGTTCAAATTAAATGCTTGGATATATTCCATAGAAGAGATACAGCAAATTCTATTAGAGATTACATCAATGTGTACATCTTACTTTATACATAACCTAAAAATTGAAAATTATGTTTATCAGTCTTTGATATCTTAATATTTTTGAGATCTTAAGTCTTTAAACAAGTGGGAAATTGTATCAAAAAATTACACATGTGGAAATAATCCTGACACAAAACAGAATAAAGAAACAACCATGGGGGTGAAGGGAGGGCAGGGACAAGGGGAAAAAATGAGAACCAAGACCTGTCATGTAAAGGTACAAGATCCCAATAATGCATGTAACTGTACTGTATACCTAAAATGTACCAATAAACTCAATAAAAAAGGAAAAAAAAAAAAGAAACAACCAACAACCATGAGAAGCAAATTAAGTTCAATGTAAAGCCAAATGCTTTCAAAGTACTCCTGGAGAAAATTGGCCTGGTAGTAGTAGGCCTCCATCCTCCGAAGTAAAGGATGTGAATAAATACAGAACTTTGTCCCAAGTTTTTAGTAACTTTTCCCTGAGAGGTAAAGTAAGGTCATAACTGAAACAGGTTAGGTAATGAGTCAGCTAAGATGCCTCTGGACCACACACATTGCGAGCCTAGAGGTTCCATCCAAAATGAGTATCTTTCAACCATCTCTGAAATCTAAACATTTATCTTATCAGTTTTCTGCCTAATATCCAAGTGTCTTTTGCTACAAAGTGTGTTAGTTTTCCAAAGCAATTCAATTTTCAAAAACCTCAAATTTTATGTATTACAGTTTCCTACAGTTAAACTCTTTTATTCTTTTATATGTCTGCAGAGCTAACAGCTTGTACTATCTCTCTGCTGAAATTCAATAATAAAATAAGTTAGAAATAAGAACCAGTAAGACCAGAAAACTAAGCTGAGAATTCAACCACTGTCATCCTAACCTAACCACAAGGATTTGGGAATAAGCAGCAATTAACCAACAGGTTTATAAAGCCAGGGAACACAGGTACTGGCTGAGAAATTCTGAAGTAAATCATATTTTATCTAAAAAGCTACTGCTAACCCGTAATTCCAACTTCCCAAAGTTCTTACTACAGATGTACCAACCCAGAGGATATACAGTAACTTTTTATTATATTATAAACCATTAAATAACAGTGTTCTTTCCAATGTTTGGTTTTATTTTTGGTAGAAACTTTTCTCTGAATTTGTATAAATTGTAAGATAACTATGCTTTTACTAGTTTAAAACTATGTTTTTAGAGTTTAAAGTGTACATTTTATACTTGATCTTAGCCAAAAGACCAAGAAGCGATTAAAATGCACATTTAAAAAGTCTCCTAAACATGTTACCAATGAAAGGGTAAGTTTAATGCAAGAGTTACAAAAAAAAAGAAACAAGAAAAAAGAAACCAAACCAAAAACATCTATTCCCAAAAATCACATACTTGACTTCAATGAAAAAATACAGTAAACCCTTTACAATAAATAAGAAACCACACTACTCATATTATGAAATAAGAAAACAGTACAGAAAGGTTTAACAAACATAATTGTAATCTTCTACTGCTAATAATAAATGTGAAATTCATGAATCATGAGAAATACATACTTTAGAATTCCATTTGCTCCAGAGTAAGCTTCTACTACATTGATACTGGTGGGCAGCATTGTAATAATCCTGTCAGCCTTTTCAGCTACATCTGCTGGGGAAGATACTACCTTTAAGAAAAATGCAAAAAAGAAAAAAAAAAGAAAAAGAAAAATGCAGACATATTACTTAAATTAAAAAGTAAGGAGTTACTAGAACATAAGTAGGATCCACTTTTTATGTTTGCCTATAACAGTTGCAGCACAAAAACAAAACAAAACAAAAAAAAAAACAGCCCTTGTTTGTAAATGACCACAAGAAAGAAAAAAGTTTATTGCCTAAAGAGTCCACTTTGTATACACACAGAGATAGCTTCTGAGGAATCAAATCTGTTTATTTTTTAAAGTGTGAGGGGAGTTGACGAGAAAAGGGCAAATCCCAACATTCCTGGGAATAGACACACTTCTCATGGGATACACTTCTCATGAGATACAATCTCATGAACTTGGATTTTTAAGGAGTCTACTTTTTGGTATCAGCTTTGACTAAAAAAAACACTCTATTACAACAGAGCTGGTAGCCCAACTCACTAGATATCCAGCGGGCAACAAAACCCCTTGGCAAAGTTTCAATCTCCAACCACCACCATCCTTTAGTCTCTGCCTTCAGATTCAAAACTAAAACAAACAAACAAACAAAAAATCACCAATTCAGAAAAGAAAAGATGAGAACAAGGACACACATCTACTGTAGGAAGGCTAGCAGTATCAGTTACCAGAACTCATGGGAAAACTATATATAGAGAAAGATATATCAATAGGCATCAAGGCATCTTCTTGATCTTCATTTCTACTTTAAAAAAACCAGCAACATACTGTAAAGAAAAGCTGCTCTCCATTCTCTGTATATCGGCATGCACACACTGTGACTGTCCATCAAGATATGCCAACTTGAATGGCTTAAGAAAAAACCTAGCAGATTACTGAAGCACAGTTCTGGGTGATCAGCACATAGGTGGGCAAACTGAGGCAGGAAGACCCAACCAGGAAGTGAGTAGCATCAACCAATAGGCTTGTAGCTTGGATGGAGTGTTCTCAATTTGGAAGACCTCCAGTTTTCATCGATGCCTTTGGATTTTGGTCTCCAGTTTCTTCAACCTTCCAAACTAGATTTGCACTAGCAACTTTATAGTGAGCTTCCAGGCCTTCAACCTTAAAATCCTTGATCTCTTGCTCTGCTGCTTCCATATTCTTGGGCTGAGCAGCTAATGGACCTCAAGCTCTCCCAGTACACAGCCAGCTATTGTGGATTCTTTCACCTCCGACCCTACTGATGGCCACTGTGGATTCCCCGGCCCCTGATCTTACATGTCTACCTAGTACACTCATGCTTCCATATTCTTGGGCTGAGCAGCTAATGGACCTCAAGCTCTCCAGTACACAGCCAGCTATTGTGGATTCTTTCACCTCTGACCCTACTGATGGCCACTGTGGATTCCCCGGCCCCTGATCTTACATGTCTACCTAGTACACTCCCTTGCATAATTACACATATATTTTCTATTGATTCTATACCTCTATAGAGAACCCTCACTCTCCCCTTGTCCTCAGCAATCTTGCTTTCTCTCATTATACACTTGGCCAACCAGTTGCCAACAAAGAGATCAGAGGATATCAGGAGCTCACTCTTTGATTCAAATTCTCCCTTAATAGAAGGAATCCACCACCCTGTCACAAGTTTTCTCTAATGCCTTTTCTCTCTCAATAAAAACAGTCAAACAAACAAAAAAACAAGCAAAAAACTACCAAGCAGGTAACTAAAGACCTGTCTCCAGAAATATATATATTGCCATAACTCTACATATGTTACATATGTAGAAACTGGCATATCTTCTACTAGGAAATGTGAAGAAACAAGTAAGCATTTTAGAAATGGGAATATTTCCCCTTTTCATGTGGTGTGTGTTTACATAACATTTTCTTTTACTTTTATTCTAGTTTCTAGTGAAAGAATGGAAAGCCAAACATAGTGTGTAATCTAAATATTATGAGCTAAAAGTAATTACATTTCAATTTTCTGTAAGAGACTATCAGCTTTTAAATCAAATTTTGGAAAAAAGTGATTTTATAAATCATTCTTTAAATTTTCAGACAATCAAGTATCCTAGCACTTTTGTATTAACAGGGTAGGAAATAATATAAAACACCTGAGATTCTAAAACTAAACAAAATATATTTTTCCTCTTTTAATGCTTCAATCTATCACCAATGCAACATTTTAGAATCTACAATGAGCTGTTTAACCTGTATGTGATAAATAATGGGGATTTTCCATTAATAATTCTGAAAATTTAAAAATTTCTCATCAAAGTATTAAAAAAATTACATGAAAATCTTTCCTACACTCAAGTAATACTGAGCTTCAGAAAGAGGTAAATATTTCCTGAGAGTTCAATTTTACTCAAGCAAACTATGGCTCAGTAAAATGAAGCAATAAGAAAAATTATTTGAGTGCTAATTCTTCACTGTTGGACTATCTCAAGAATACAGGATACTTAGAGATTCCCATTTGTTCATTCCCACTTTAATGAAGTAAATACACTGCAAATATAATGGCATACTTTTTGATGATCTTTTTTACTGCAGCTCCATTTCTAGATCCTTCAGAGATATCAATAAGTCCTAAGGTCTAAGAGTCAATTTCAGGCTTCCTCTTAGCAACTAAGAATTCTCTTCCATTGAAAAAAAAAATTCAGTTCCACCTATGTAATTCCTTGAGAGGTCCCCTAAAGGGTACCAACAATTATCTCACAGATCTAAGGGTGCTTTACATCTCCAAGCTTCTCATACTCATGAACCAGCAGTACCAATTCATCCAACTGCCAAGTGCATGGGGTGGCCAATCAGCCTCCTACATCCTTAACATCTGCTTCTTGGGAAGCTTGGGTTGCCAGAGTACTGCTAACCCCTCAATTATACAAAAGCAGTCTCAAAGCTCACAGGAATGGAAAAAACACACAATGATAGTGATAGCTGGAATGTCACCACTATACTGGCCACAACTATTCTTTATCTAATGGCTATATACATTTGGTATATAAGAAGTCTCTAATTTATACTTCAAAGGCATATTTATTAGACAGACAAACATTCAAATAAACTTGCCATGACTTGACAACTCTGAAATAACTGACAAAACTTGGCCATAACTCAAAAGCTGAGAGGAAAACACCAACCTCATGGCCAATCTGACACTAACCACAAATTCTTTAGAAGCCAAACTAATTAGACATCCTTCAATTACATCTGCTAATTGAGTGAGAACCAAAGACAGCATGGATAAGAGAAAGGAACACTAATTTGAGGAAACCAAGATCCATGTTTAGTTACAGCTCAGCCAAGAAGTCATGTGATTTTGTGCAAATCACTTAACCTCTCTGGCTTTAGTTTTCCAGTGTATTAAAAATAGGGATTTGAGTTATTTTGGGGTTTCTATCTCCAAAGTAAAAAGGAAACTTAAGAGACATTTTTATATTTAGCAACCTTAAATTTGAGGAAGATGTAGTCCCTGTGAAAAAAGGCTGATAGGACTACATGCACCTACAGCGACTCAGTACAAATAGACAACATTTGCAGAACACACACTGTGCAGGTCTTCAACACTTCCACATCTGTGGACATTCACTGGCCTGACAGACTCTGAACCTTAGCTCTAATCTGACTGCCAAGGTGGTCCAAATAGATCCTAGAATTCCAACTGGCTCATTCTTATACTGTTGTGAATTAAGAGGACACTACTTTTGTTCTTTCTTTTTTTGGGGGGGGTACTGGAGGTCAAACTCAGGTCCTTGCACTTGCAAAGCAGGAGGCAGCACTGAGCTAAATCCCTGGCCCTTTTGTTATTTCTTAACTTTGATTATGGGAGATTGGTTGCCGTGTATATCACAATATCTATAATCTTTACGAATCCTTATAGCCAATTTCTCTGGATTTAACTTTGGTTCATCTGTATACTGACATATATCAATGGCAAGAATAGAGGATTGGACAGGTTAAAGGCAAAATCTGCTTTGCTGGAGGGGGAGAGGAGAGGAGGGCCAAAAGTAATCAAAGGATATGCACCTCCTTTCTACATATCCACCAGAATGAGGCAACTGTTGCCTTGTAACTTTATATACAGATAAAAGTACTGCCATCTCCTTCCAGACAAGGAATATAAGTTCAGCACTCTTTCCAAGTAAACTTGATAGGTAACAAAAATCTCAAAAAATACGAACATGACTTTGTTAAACTCACCACTCCTGTTTTTTAATCTTTCAAAGTAGAAAAGCACACTTACCTCAAAACTACACTACACTTAAAAAAATTTTTTTTAACTTAAAAAATGTTTGTGCCTGTATCTTGAAACATGTGGACAATAATGTTGGAGCATACTCAGCAAGATGCTTTTAAAGCCCTCATTTAATAAGCCTTGAGTGGATGCCAGATTAGATCCCAAGAGATTTATTCCATTTCCAAACATGTTCTGCCTTACAACCCAGGAACAACAAAATGGTTTCCAAGTTTTTAAAGAAAAGAGGACCTAATTAAGTCTAGTTCAACCAGAAAACTCACACAGAAATAATAAATACACCCCAGACTTTTGGCATAAACCATCATCATCTCAAAAAAAAAAAATTCTAGACAATGGAAATGAAGCCCAAGTTACATGCCCCTAACGCTAAACCTTATGTTACAGAAAAAGATAAGTAGCTTGCATAAATAAAAGTGGAGTGGAAAGAACAGTGCTGCAAAGATCCTAAAGCAGGAAAGCTGTCAAATCACCGCATCTGATTTTATCTTATCATTCTGTTATTTAAAATATGTCTATAATTATCTTCCAAAGTACTTTGGACTCAACAACTCAGTCAAGACCCTGGTGTGTGTATGTGTGGTGTTGAGGAAAAAAGAGCATGAAGAAATACAGGATAAATACAGCCATCGAATCCACAGCAACAGTCCTAGCAACTCCAGTAACAGCACTTTCTGTCAGGTTCTCCGGGACTTAGAGAAAGGAAGGCACTATTATTATCTCTACTTTATAAGGTAAGGAAATTGAAGCAGACACAATGCTAAGTAATCTGTTTGAAGTC